TGAATAAAGTCCATCAAAATGTAGTGACGCCTTTCTGACTAGTACTAGAGAAAATACCATTTGGAAAATGTTTCTTTTCCCTGTACATTAGCTCCAAAGCTCAGATACTTATCCATGAATAAGCCGCCACAATCTTTGATTTCTTCAGGGAACTGAGACAGAAACAAAGCTTTCATTCAAATTACTGTCTGTCACGTTAATCAAACCTTAGGTGGACCAAATTCAAACTAATCAAAAGTTCTAAATAGAAAAGCACCAACCACTAAAGAGGTGGTAACTGTTGGTTAGAAATGCAAAGCATTAATTAACAAGAACAAGATCATTACTCATCAAAGAGAAGAGATCAATATCTTCAGCCACTGAACTGTGAGAGATGTGAAGCTTGTGTGAGGGTGTGCCATTTGAAAGAGGTTGATGGCTGTAGAGTGGCTACAGAGTTATCAGCAAAGGATCTGATGCAGTTGGATAGTGAGTACAGGCGGCCACCAACTTGGAGAAGGAACAAAGTGGGAGAGAGCACAGGGCCCTGAGGAATTTTGCTAGAATAAGAAACAGAGGATGAACCATCAACTATGGATGAGATAAAACAATCTTACGGGAAACTAGATAATCATGAATATAACTTTGGTAGAAAATCAGAAGATTGTTATTGTAACAGACTCAACACAGATTCAACCACCAATAGAATAGCCATGCTGAGAGCCTTTACAGATTTGGCCAGAATTTTCAAAGTGATGAATAATTTCAGTTGATATCAACTTCCATAACTTTAGATAACATCATCATGATAGTTTGAGAAAGATCAGAAGGGACACCCCCCACCCCCAATTCCCAAGTAGAACGAAAGAAGAAAAAAGTAAAGACGGACTAGAAGTTCAAGGCAAATCTCTTGAGAACAATAGAAGCAATACTGTCAGAATCAGAGTCCTTATTAAAGTTCAGAAGGTAGCAGATCAGGGAGATACAATGGCATTAAAACATGATGTTGGTCATAGTATTAGAATAGAAAGAAGCAATGGAAAGCTCATTTTCGAAGATCATCAAGACTGAAGATAAAGAAGAAAGGTAAAATGATGAGGTTTGCCTTCTCTTTGAATAACATTGGTCATTTCATGCGCAAAGACAGAAATCAAAACAACATTTGGACCAGGGAAAGAATATTTTAATCCTACCTCATTAAACTGAAAGTGTATCACAACCGAATTGTGAATTGAAGGCCAATAACTTTTCAAAAACATTTTTAAAAATATTCCTTTTAAAAAACAATATTCCTTTTAAAAAACCTAAGGTTTCTTTGATATTGACACCAACCAACTGATTTTCCCGGAGGTCCGAGTCATCAGGCACTCAAAACTCTCTACCCTTGGGATAGCTGAGGGAATTTTGGAGATGCTCCCTAATCCATCAACCAGTCTAATAATAATAATCTTTGCCTTTGATATGGCACCTTACTCTAAAGTGACTGTATATTTTGTGGGAGAGACGCGACAGCCAATTGTGTACAGCAGTGTCCCACAAACAGTCGTTGATTGAGTGACCAAATTATTATTTTTTTTTGAAGGGATTATTACCCTCGGAAAAGCGATCCGTCAATCGACTAACAACCAGGTTCCCACCTGCTGCTAAGTAAGCAGAGGCGTGTGGAGTAAGGAAACTTGCCCAATGTTTCACCCTGCCCAGGAATCAAACCCAGGTTCTCTCGCTTGTGAGGCGAGTGCTTTAACCACTAAGCTACAAGACTCCAGTCTAACTGGTCTTTGGTGCCTTTCCAGCATGCAACTGTTTGGATCTACTGTGCTATTCAACCGTGTAAAGAGCAGTCACATTTAGAACTGAATAGGTGCACTGGAACAAAACTAATTTTCATTCTTTCTGCAAAGAAACAGCTCTAACGAGTAGTCTTCTCTGCTTAAAAAAGATCGAATTGCTGGCACAATGATGCAACAAATACTTTGTTTTGCAAATGTAAATTAAGGAACCTAATGTATTCCATATAAGGTCCTAATGAAGTCTTAAATCAGCAAAAATCCAGTGTTTTGTGTGTTAGCCTGGTTCAGTTGATAGTATTCTCACCTCTGAGCCAGAAGTTTGTGGTTTCAAGCGACACATCGGGATTTGAAACTCACATGGTCTAAGGTGATAATCCAATCCAATGCTGGGGATGTGCTGCAAAGTTGGAAGTGCCATCCTTTTCATGAGACATTAAACCGAGGTCCCATCTGCCTGTTCAGGTGGACGTTAAAGATTCAATGGCGCCATTCGAGGAGAGGTGCCCCACAGCAGTGCCGCACAAACAGTCATGGATTGAGTGAACAAATTATTATGAATTATTATTTATTTATAAAGGGATTATTACCCCCGGAAAAGCGATCCGCCAATCAACTAACAACCGGGTTCCTACTTACTGCTAGTAAACAGAGGCGTGTGGAGTAGGGAAACTTGCCCAACATTTTGCCCTGCTCAGGAATCAAACCTGTGTTCTCCTGCTTGTGTGGCAAGTGCTCTAACCACTAACCTACAGGGCTACACTTTGGTGGACAGTCAACTGTTTAAAATAGGAATAAGTATGATTGGAGTAGAAATTTGTGGGGGTATGAGAGAATGGCAAGCAATCCCATTTTAGAAAATAGGCCAGGTCTGATATACTGCAATGGTCTTTTTCCATTTTTGTGTTCCTGTAAGATTAATAAGCAGAAAATGCAACTATTTACCAGTTGACAAATAAAAATAATCCTTACATTCGGGATAGCATCTCTCACATTGGGAAGACACCTCAAAACACTTCACAGAGTACCCTGTAAAGTGTAGTGACTGTACTTTGTAGGCGAATGAGGCAGGAAGTGAATGACCACTTTTATTTTGGGAGACTGTTTTCCAGGACACTGGGAGAAACTCCCTTCCCTTTTTAAATAGTTTCAGAGGATCTTTAACATCCACTTCAACAGGCAGATGGGACCTTGGTTTAGCATCTCATCGAAAGGACCGCACCTTCAACAATGCAGCGCTCCCCCAGCACTGCATTGCAGTGTCAGCCTAGACTATGTGAGTTCAAAACCCCAGGTGGGGTTTGATCCCACAGCCTTCTAACTCAGAGATGAGAGTGCTACAAACTGAGCTGGGTGATAATCAACATGCGTCGTGTTCACTGTTTACTGTCAGCCTATTGACTTTAAATCAAGGATTACAAAAACCTTAATGTTTTTTATTGATTTATGAATCACTGGCATGCCTGAACAAGCATTAAATGTCTGGTACTTTCTGGGGTGATGTAATATAGTGCTTCAGGTTAGAATTTGTGTTTGATGTTGATAGAAAAGGTGGTTCCAGGATATTGAAGTATTCTAAAGGATTAACAAATAGGAACAATTCAGGTCCAAGGAAGTCAGCAAAGCACAAGCATTATTAGCTGTAATCAAAACAGATGTGCAGTGATCCTGGAAATAGTTCTGTTCTAGTCTTCTCAGTTCTGTTACACTGTATAAATCACAGAGATGATAATAATAATAATCCTTGCATTTGATATAGCGCTTAATCACATTTTCAAGACATTTTTTGAACTGCAGCAGCTATTGGAGAAGAAGTCTGCTTGTAATCTAGAACGAGATTACAGTAGAATGCTGCATATCCAAATCCAGGGGTTCACTTAAACCACGTTGGGCTCAGATTTGGAAGTAAATGCTGGTTAGGAGAAAAATCTATTTTTGGTCAAGTTGTGTATATACATAGGAGTTACAGGGCCTACAATGTCCAGGTAAATCAGAGGCTGAACCAATAAGTGCCAATCTGCTATAAACAGAACCCGCCACTACAAACACATCCTCCACTAAAAATCTGTAAAAAATGAAGTTTCCTGCTGCCGGCTGTTTACCCGACACTACTGTGGGTGGAGCGGCTCCGGACACACATGCACAGTGCAGCGCAACGGGGGAAATCAGTTTTGCCCCACTCCGAGCCCCTGCTGTTGACATTGCCTGCGCGTGTCTCTCTCCTGTGTGTGTGAGTGTGTGTGTGTGTTTGTGAGTGTCTCTGTGTGAGTATGTCTGTGGATGTCTCTCTGTGTCTGTGAGTGCTTATGTGTATTTCTCTCTCTGTGCCTGTAAGTGTGTGTGTCTCTCTCTGTCTGTGAGTATATGTGTGTTTCTGTGTGTCTTTATGCGTGTGTGTCTCTGACTGTGAGTATATGTATGTGTCTCTGTCTGTGAGTATATGTGTGTGTCTGTATGTCTTTGTGCGTGTCTCTCTCTCTTTCTATGGGTGTCTGTTTGCGGTGCTGGGCCCTGAGAGGCAAGAGATGGTGACCTCCTGTAGCTCCACACCAACATTGGCAAGCTTGGTGAGTATATTGTTTTTGGTGGATCTCCAGGTCCTTTGGGCCTGCGCTAATGTTTCTCCACCTCGAAAGTTATTGGCAGTAAAATGTACCTGTGCACGAAATGTACCTACTGAGCCAGAAAATGCACAAATCAACCCCCTGCAATTCCTCGCAAAATTCGTCAAATTTCTCCTCAAATTTGGGCAAATATTTCCATAATTTTCTACTGGCCCTGGGACTTGAAGGCATAAACACAACTAGTTTTTTTTTAAACTCTTAATGCAAAGGTAAGTGTTTATTTAGCAATATAGAGTTCGAGAAAAGAGAATCAGAGAATGAGATAGAAAGTTAGAGAATGTAAAAGAGAGAAAGAATGCATGATTTAGAGAAGGAGGGATAAACTCACTTAGAAAGGATTAGTAAACGAGAACAGCAGAGAGAAAAAGCTGATACTACAGTACAGAGTTAATATAACTTGGAAGAAATGTTTTGGTCAGCTTTGTAGCCAATTTATATTTTGTGTGCTAACCAATGATTTCCATTTTTTCCATAGCTGAAATGAAGCTCATCGATTTACTGCAGATAATCAGCTCGCTGCTGGAGTACACCGATGCAACCAGCTAAATCAAACAACCTGAACTGTTGCACATACTGCAGCTAGGAGGTGTATGTATAAAGAAACACTTACAATCATCTGCTCTTCTTTATCCCCACTCTCCTTAATAATAATCCTCTCAATTTCCTGGTTAAGACCCTCCACGCTGTTACGAAGTCGGGAAACAGTTGTCTTTGAAATAGGAATTGCCACTGGAATCAAAACTGTCTTTGGAATGGGCGCCTGGAAGAAAAGAATTTTGGTAGTATATCAGCACCGAGAAAATGGCAGAACCTTTTACAAATTAATACAATGTTTGGCAATAATTAAACATTTAAAACAAAATTGCACATTAAGGTTGCAAATTGTAAATGCAGTGCGTTTACGAATGATCGATCTGCCAATTCCTGTCTGGTTTCATAAGCTATAGAGCTCTGCATGATAAGCACAAACAGAACAAAGGAGACTCTGCCACGTGACACAAAGAGGAACTCAAACTGTTGAACCTTCAACTGTGTATTTAAAGTAGGCAGCAAAACACTTTAGTCTTAAGATGCCAGAATGATGTGTTACACTCCTATCTCTTTGGAACAACCAATTATGTAAATGTTCTGCTTAAACATAGACATTTGAAAGAACAGTAGTCTTACACAACTTCAACCCTAAACAACAACAACAACAAAATTACATTTGTACAGCGCCTTTCACGTTGGGAGGATGTCCCAAGGCGCTGGACAGTCAGTGTTTTAGACCTGGGCTGGGGGTTGGGATTAGGGAGGGAGGGGGAGAATGTTTGGCAATAATTAAACATTTAAAACAAAGTTGAACATTAAGGTTGCAAATTGTAAGTGCAGTGCGCTTTTGATTGATCGATCTGTCAATTCTTGTCGAAATTAGAATTGACCGAAAGCACGGTCGAAGAGGAGGATCTTGAGATGGGTCTTTAAAGGAGGCAAGGGAGAGGGCGAGGCGGAGGGACTGCAGGATCGAGTTCCAGAGGGTAGGGCAGAGTGGCAGAAGGCCCGCCCGCCAAGGGGGACATGAAGAAGGAGGGGGGACGTGAAGCAGGCAGAAGCCCGTTGAGCGGAGGGAGCGAGCAGGATTGTAGGGGGTTAGGAGTCGCAGATGTAGAGGGAAGCAAGGCCATAGAGGACTTTGAAGGTGAGGACCAGGATCTTGAACTATATCCTCTGAGTAATGGGAAGCCAGTGGAGTCGGGCAAGGATGGGGGTGATAGGGTTATGGAGCCTGGTGGGGGAGAGGACACAGGCTGCAGAGTTCTGGATGATCTACAGCCTATGGAAGGAGGAGTTGGGGAGGCCAACAAGCAAGGAGGTTGCATAGTCAAGCCTCGATGTTATGAATGCATGTATGTGAGTTTCGGTGGCCTGCGGTGTGAGTCAGTGGCAGAGCCGAGTGATGTTGCGGAGTTGGGGGAAGGCAGAGCAGGTCATGGCACGGAAGTGGGGTAGAAGGATAGTTGAGGGTCAAACAAACCGCCAAGATTCTGGATTGGCTTAGTAAGATGGAGTGTGCATTCATGGATGGTGATGCTGTCAGCATCGGAGATGTGGAGGCGCTGACGGGAGCCAATCAGGCGCGCCTTGGTCTTGTTGACATTCAACTGAAGAAAGTTAGTTCTCATCCAGGACTTTATGTCTGACAGAAGTTGACCCCATGTCTGCGGATGACGTCAACAAGAAGGATTATATAGATGTTGAAGAGGAGGGGACCAAGGACAGAGCCCTGAGGAACGCCGCACCAAACAGAGGACAAACCGTTTGTGGAGATGAAGTGGAGGCAATGTGAGAGGTACGATCTGAACCACTCAAGAACAGAACCGTGAGGATTGAGGTGAGAGGAGAGGTGATGGATGAGCATAGAGTGGGCAAAGGTATCTAAAGCAGTAGAGAAGTTAAAGGAGGATGAGGAGGCAGAGGGAGCCTCCGTCACAGATGGACAGAATGTCTCTTTGACCAGGGCTGTTTCTGTGCTGTAGGCAGCACGGAAATCCGATTGACTAAATCCACTAAATATAAAAAACAATTATAAAATATTTTTTCAACATTCTCTCCAGTTTCTCCTCTTCCGTAATCTCTATCCTTTTCATTCTAACCTTATCTGTAATATTTTCCACCTGTGTTTTTCCACCTTTAAAACGTTTTCTCATCGTTCCTCTAACTCCCATTTAAGAAGTTGGAGGCAGTCAATTTTATAGCCAACAAAAAAGGTAGGAAGATAGGAACAGGAATAGGCCATTCAGGTCCTCTTCCACCATTCTATTAGATGATGGCTGATCTGTAGCTCAATCCAAATACCTTCCTTTTCCCTGTATCCCTTAATATGGGGCAGCGCCTTGGGATGTCCTCCCGAGGTGAAAGGAGCTATACAAATGTAATTTTGTATTGTATTGATACACTTACCTAACAAACATCTATCCACCTCAGTCTTGAAAATTTGAATGGATCCAGCATCCAGTCTTTTGGGGGAGAGAATTCCAGATTTCCACTACCCTTCCTGATTTCACCCTAAATGGCTTAGCTCTAATTTTAAGATTAAACAAGAAAGATGATTGACAGGACTGAATGCCATATTCAATCCCATCAATCTCCAGTGCGGTTTTTCAGTCGACATTTGAGAGCATTGGTGGACGGTGAATATATTATTTTGGGGTGGGGGGTTAGGTAGTTGATTCAAACTCAATTAAAGGTCGGTCCCCTTCAAGATAGGCAAGATAGTGGCTTGACTAACAGGTCCATCTGCCAATGATAAGTGAGGACACTTTGATGAGCTGCCTTCATCAAGCTCAGTGCATCCCCCCATCGCTCCTTAAAGAGGTGAGCTGCATTTAGATTGGTGGGCTCAGAGCCCCCTCTGGCCCTAGCCACCCACTGTCTATAACTGAGAGCCACAAACATGTATGTACATTGGTAGATTATAGGGAGAATATGTATGTATATATATTTAGTGGTCACTAGGACCTGAGGGAGGAAAGCTCAAGCCTGCGCCTTTTTAAGATGTGCCGACGACTCCAACGCTCACTTGGAGTACACAGGTCTGTAAGAGTGGTGGGCATCAACCAAGAGCCCAAGTGCTTGCATCCTTCTGCAGGTATTGTGTTGCTGCTGCTGTTCTGGGATTTCATCCCCCGAGATTAAACCCGTGTAGTGAGTCTCTGTGTGCATCCATATTGGTCTGGCTCTGGGATCCATCCTACAATATGATGGTGGTACCCAAAGACTTAATTCCATTATGCCTCATTGTGAAACTAATTTAGAAAATCATCATATACATAATGCTCAAAACGTTAAGATATATATTACAGATATATGTGGAGTCCTGTAGCTCAGTGGTTAGAGCACTCGCTTTGCAAGCGAGAGACCTGAGTTCAATTCCAGGCAGAGGGCGAAACCTTGGGCAAGTTTCCTTACTCCACACAGAGCCTAATAATAATCCCTCCAAAACCAAAAAAAACAATAATAAATTGGTCATTTTCAATCTACGACTGTTTGTGGGACTTTGCTGTGCGCAATTGGCTGCCGCGTTCGCCCACAAATATACAGTCAATTCACTTTACAGTATATTCTGTGAAGCGCTTTGGGACGTCCTCCCGACGTGAAAAGCGCTATATCAAATGCAAGGATTATTATTATTATTATTACAGAGTTGTTTAGCAGTGGATATCTGGATGTGATTCATGTTCCGTTTTTTGATCGTATGTCTTTGGTATTGGCATTGAATAACAGTTAGGTTCTCTCTCACAAGGAGAAGCAAAACTAACATTGCATCAGTCTACCTTTCAGGTAGCCCTCTTGCATCTGAGTCAGAGGTTGTGGGTTCAAGCCGCACATTGAGACTTGCAATCATTTGTCTAAACTGACACTCAAATGCAGTGCTGTGGGGGGGGAGGTTGCATTGTCCTTCAGATGAGGCGCTAATCCAAGGCCCCATCTGTCTGTTCATGTTGGCATTAAAGATCCCATTGCAGTATTCAAAAAGAGAACGGGGTTTCTTCTGGTGTTCTGGCCAGCAATCCACCAAATAAAATTGGTCACTCGCTCCATGGCTGTTATGTTATGTGTTATGTGCAACTGGCTGCCACTTTGCACCCACAAAATACAGTCAATCCACTTTACAATATATCCTGTGAAGTACTTTGAGATGTCTTGACGAAGTGTTAAGATGCTATATCAAATGCAAGGATTATTATTATTAACATTAAGTCACCCTGAGTCACTATCTCTAGCTGGAGAATAGTTTGAGAGAAGCAAAGTCAGAAGACCTTGGAGCTTGTAACTTGCATACTCAGCCAAATTGCCTCAATACTGTGGTATTTCCTTTCATACATCAGCTGGCAAACGTACATTAGCTTGCAAACACTCTAAAGGCCAGTAGAAATGTTATGTACATTCAGTTTTAAGACTAAAAAAAAGCTAGCAAAAGGAAAAATTCATGTGAAGGCTGTACAATCTGTACTAATTGTTCATACTGTAATCCTATTGAAAGCGAAGATGCTCTGAGCAACTCCCAAAATATACACTTCATCTCGAGAATAATGTGGAGTCCTGTAGCTTAGTGGTTAGAGCACTCGGCTCACAAGCGAGACGACCTGGGTATGAGAAGACCTGGGTGCAATTCCCAGGTAGGACAAAAGCTTAGGCAAGTTAGACAAGTGATTCCAAGTCTCAATGTGCGGCTTGAACCCACAACCTCTGACTCAGATCCGAGAGGGCTACCCAGGCAGGGCAAAACCTTAGACAAGTTTCATTACACTTGAACCCTATGAGTAGTGATATTTCCTCGTGCCAGGTATCAACAGTGGGGATGGGACACCCCAATAAGTTATTTGTAATTATATCATTACTGAAACTTTTATATATGGCTAATTATTAAACATGCCAATTAATGCAAATCAGATTAATAATAATATAATAATAATAATTAATCTTTGCATTTTGAGTGGTATCATGGAATCGTTAACATCCATCTAAACAGCTAGAGGGGACCTTGGTTAAAATTTTCCCTAAGGGTCACACCTCTGACAATGCAATGCTCTCCGAGTGCCATCCCACACTGTGAGTTCAAAGTCCTGATGTGGGGCCCATACCAATAATAATAATCCGTGCATTTGATTTAGCACCTTATCACGTCTTTGAGGTGTCACAGAATATACTGTAAAGTGAATTGGCTGTGTATCTGAGGCAAAAACGCTACCAACAGAATTAGTTTGACACCTGTTTTGC